CAACAAAAATGAACAAATAATCCAGAGAGAATAAGAGCCTTGGGGAGACTAGTCGGGAGACTTGAAGCCTGAAAAGCCAGGCCCCAGGCCAAAGCCCAGGTCGCCCAAGCCCTGAGCCTTGAAGCCTAGACCTTCAAATGCAAGCCTTTAGCCCCCAACACTGAAAGCCTCTAAACCCTAGGCCGAAAACCTAAATGAGACCAGCAGCCGCTTGTAAGAAGCGGTTTCCAGCCATCGCAACCCGTGCAGCCAGCGCAGCAGCCAGGCATGCGCGCATGATGAAGATGGGCCTGCAAGGGCATGGGTCCTTGGCCTGGGGTTATGTAGATACATCCTACATGTGCGTTCATTCCACTTATAGGAACCAAGTAGGTTTCAGAATCTTTGGGTACCGAACTTGCACTCTCTTTGAAGACATCAAAACCATGATCATGGGAAGTTGGGCAGCTAATTTTGATTGCTGACTGTCGGGCTGCTTGACCGATTTTCACGAGCTGCTTTGTTATCTTGCTTGCCATGCTGTCGAAATGATGAGATTGAGAAGTAGACACTTTACAGACAAACACGAACAGACACTCCGTGATGGGCTTGCATGGGAGGCCCCACGCTCCACACTTTGCAATGCGATGATCCTAGCAGCATGTGCCATTTGCGAAAGTGAAGTCCTTCCATAATCTTTTGGAGGATCATGCACATGATTGGGTAGTTTTAGAGAAAGAGCCTTTATCTGGCTGCACGGGAGCTGCACTCAAAACAGCAGTTCAGGTGGGTAGGTTACAGTGCTCCACAACTTCCCCCACAAGACATCTACAACTCTGGAAGTGGTGTAGAAGGCGGGCAGGGCACAGGAACCATTGTGACTACTTGTACCCACCTGCTCGGAAACTGTCCAATGGAAAAAGCTGGAAGCTGAAGCTAAAGGACTTTCGCTTTGGATTTTGGTTTGGTGGGGTCTCTTTCCGTGGACAAGGGGTGCAGGTGCATCTTGTGTCGAAGGTATTTTTTCTCGTTTGGGTGCAAGATTTGCAAGGTTGGGCCATGGAATGGTCTGTAGCCAGTATATCCCGCAAGGCGAGTCACGGCTGCGTGTACTCATTGGTATCAGTCCCGCTTTCGCGCTTTGTAAGTACGACTCACAAGGGAGTTGTTGCCTGAATCAGCGTTCCGACCACCGCTGACGGCCATCAAATCCTACTTGCAAATACAGAGTATTATAACTCAATCGCAGCTGCAGTTGTACTTCCATTGTGATGCTACTGGGGACGTAGCGAGATTAGAAATGGGCCAGCAGTACGGTTAGACGTAGGTTTTTCCTAACCTGAAAAAACACCCAAAGCCTAAACTCTAGCCTTTTAAACTCTGAAAGGGTTACCAGCGGTCTGAAGTAAGGCCGCGATGAGCGGCAGCGCTGAGGCTCGGGCGCAGAAAATCCAGCGTGCGCTGTGAGGCTTTACAAGGCACGATGCGAGGCTAAGCAGCTGCAGCAAGAGAGTTTCTCTGAGGATTTGAACGGTTTAGCGTTGGAGGGTTTCTGGTTCATGTTCGGACTTCAGGCTCCGAGTCCGCCTTATGAAGCCCCTCGATGAACAAACGATGAACAAATTTGCACATGGCGAGTTCCATCCAACACAGCGCAGGACATGTCTCAAGCCCACTCAGTAGCATGGTTTCAGTGGTCACCATGGAGGGAGAAGGTTCAGGGCTGTGTGTCTTACATTTGGGGAGGCGATTTTAGTTCGTAGGCAGGCTAGTCGAGGGGGTTTCGAGCTTAGAGCTCAGCCCTACAGAATAGAATGCGGTTTACAATATCCAGAACAGGCTTGATGAAAGAAGTTGTCCAGGTGGGGCGATTTACAAACTTCCAAAACCTGGGCACTGCGGCGTCATGGTCTGACAACACAAGGAAGAGACGTTGTGAAGACATCTGAAGGACTGGGGCAGGTCAGTATTGTGGGACATGCATGATGACTATGTGTTGACATAGGACCCAACGCCTCGCAGTCTACACGGGAGTATGCCCAAATCCGTGTTACATACATTGGAGGATCACTGTATGAACCCGTAGGACATTAGCTTTGTGAAGGCGATCACCACTAGGAGAATTTAAACAAAGGGCTTTTGGGACCTTAAGCAAAACCCTGCTATTTCTTGTGTCATAAGCCTGGAGGGAGCCTACTCTCTTTCAGTTAGGGAAAGCCCTTTCATGACAACAGGTTGCCAAACGCTCTTGAAGCAAGATTTCTTAGATTGAACGTGCTCCTTAAGTCAGACTTATTGGGCTCCTAGGGCCCATAACCCCAAAACCCTAAACCCTCAACCCAAAACGGCCCCAGGTCCGGTTCACAAAGGCATTCAAGATTTGGGTTTCTCAGGACGAGCCCTGGACATTCCCTGGGGGTGACACCTCTACTTGCTTCAGAATCCGAAGGGTTTAGGGTTCAGCGGTTTAAGGCTTTGGGGTTTAGGGGTTTGAGTGTTTAGGGGTTCCTTAGGGCTCCCTGATTTCGGAAGGCCCGCCCTTTCTAGCTTGCTTGTGCTGCGCCTCTTTAGACTCCGCAGTGGGCAAACTCTCCAAGTCCCCTATTCTATAGCCTTCGGAAAAACAACAACCTTGTTTCATGTGTCTAAACTCCTAGTATCGCCCTTCATAACCGGTATAATACTCCCCTATACAATCATCATATAACCTAGGCTTCCCCTCTTTAAGGAGTTTAGACAATGGCTCCTGTACTCCAAACACCTAGTGCCTCAAAGTCTTAGCGAGCTTTAGAACCTGAACCTACTCCTGCACTTTCAGCATGTAGCGAGGGGTGGGTAAGACTGACACTTACAACGAAGGAGGTTCTATTGTTCGGGGGAAGCCTCAGGTTTAGGTAAGATACAAGACCCTAACACAATCAATAGGTACCTGGTGCTTGAAACCTACTTAGATCTGAGATGTAACCAAATTATGACCACATTACTGCTCTTCGTTGGCCTGTAATTTCGGTGGCAAGTACAACTACACGTGAAGCATGGTTACCCAGGACCTCCAAGGAGGAAGCCTAGATCACCTGAGCTGTAGTCTAAACTCCTAGTACCTCCTTCATAACCCGTATAGTAGTCCCCTATATAATCCCCCTTTGAGGAGTTTAAACTATAGATCACCTGAAACTTGACGGGCGCACGGGATCGTACTCGGGGGGCTTCTGGCTTTGCAGCGAGGCCACGTAGAGGACAATGATGGAAAGGATGCCCCACACTGGGCTCAGGGTTAAAGTCGTGGGACGAGGTTAGGTCATAGGATTCCGGGCATCCAACCCTAATCCCTACACCCCACACCCTAAGTCCCAAACCTTGGACCTTAAACACTCTTAGACTTTGAAGCTTGGGTTTCAGATTTGGGGGTCTGGGCCTCAGGGAGAGGCCTTCGACTGAGGCTGCCTTCTTGCCCCCAAGTAAAGCGAGGGATTATAGGGAATATATAGGGGTTGTGTAGGGATAATGGAGAATCAAATGGAAAATCAAATGGAAAATGAAACTGAAACTACTATATAGCAAAATAATGTAGACCCATCCCGCTTAAGGGCCTAAATCTCATAATCCCTGTTAAGGGGAGGGGATTCATTAATCAGGGCTCTGGGTTACCATCCCCCCAAATGTACTCCCCCCCCCGCTTTGAGGAGCTACAAAGGACTACACAAAGCTGAATAAGACCTACTAGAATTCCATGTTTCTGGGACTCAGAATGAAAGGATCCTTACATGATCGATGCCTTAACTAGCCTAAACCCTAAACCCTAGATCCCTATAAAACCCTAACTTAGTAATCCCTAAACCCTAAATCCCTATCAAACCCTAACTTGGTTATCCCTAAATTACCCTAATAAAGACTGAGCCTGAAGCTGGTCGTGTCGAGAGGGGGGGGGGTTCTGTGGGAACGCGCATGATTGCAAAAAGACTTTCGCTTTGATTTAATGAGATTGAGACAGTTATAGTTCAACATGATAGGGTTTTGGGGGTGGCTGGTGCTCATGAGCACCGGGATGCAACCTCTGATACCCCAAGCCAGAACACCCAAAACCCAACATGCAAATCTACATCCAAAACCGCAAGACCCGCATAATCATTGAAATCTTAGGGTTCTCGAGGTCCGGTTCTGAACCTGCCAAGTCAAGGCACAGCATGCTGTTCAAAGATGTTCTCTCAACATTGATACTGTGGATGAAAGAAATCTTGCACCACTTTTGAAAGCTTTAATGGTGTTTTCAGTACATAGGTTGTCTCCATGTTTACATACTCTTGTCCGCTTATCTCAGCTCTGATGCCGGGGAAGTCGCCTTAAGCATGTCACAGCTTGGGACTGAGAGCTTCGCCCATGTACCCTACGGAATCCCTGTCAGTTCATGGCAGGTCATGCCAGGGCAACTCTGTTGAATGCTAAAAAGGAGGGCTTGCTCACATTGCAACAGTGGATTTGGTTGGCAGCCCTTTTCCAAACAGTTTCGGACTTGTAGAACGCTCCAAACCACAAGCCCAGACCTTAAACCAAACCTGGTCAAGGTCTCGGACAATTGCAGCCACCAAATTCCTTCTGCAAAGCATTACATGCCTGCCGGATGTGTATTGAATAGGAAAACAAATCTCCTCCCCATGAATGGTCTTACGTACTGCTCACTCCTCCCTGAACAGACCCTGGTCAAAGAGAAGGCACAAGCGCTATAATACTCTAGTCTTCTACTATGCCCCTTAATAAGCCCTATAATACTTCCCTAGATAATCCCCTATCTAGCCCCCTTTAAGGATAGCTCGTGAGAGTCTGCTTTGAAGTACTGTTGCTGTTGACTTGATTTCTGCATGCGGAGCGTTCCTCCTGAGGCAAGGACAGCCACCCAAACATCTCAACACTGCGTGCAGCAAGCCGTAGATGTAGATCAGTCATTTGAAGTTTCAGCAGATATGCGTCAACATACCAGGCCACAGAGCACCACAAACCTTGAGATCTTTTCTTTGGCTTCTAGCTTAGCACTCTTCTACGTCCGCTGTGTCCACAGTGCTCTTTGTCCACCTCCTCGTGGGACAGCTGGTGGGGATTGTGGCAGGGCCGGTGATGAGTGTGGTAGGGATGCCGGTGAGAATGTCAGAGCCAATGTTGAGGTCTTCGCTACGGAGCTCGCCGCCCTCGTAGAAATAATGCTTCACTGGCACTCCGATGCCCTTTTTGTGTTCATTTCTTTTTAACTTGCCATCCTTGCGGCGTTGGTCGAAAGCCTCCTTGTTTCTCTGGTTCATCTGGCCCCATTTCCTGGCCGCCAGCTCAGGATCGCAATTTTCCACCTTCTGGTCTACCGTGTTCAGAATGGCTTGCGAAAGATAAGGGCAACCACCCTTCGAATGGGGTCCACGTTGAAGATCCTTCAACCTCAGAACCAAGTCTGTGTCTTGGCAACCCATGGGGAAAGCATCCTCATCGTAGCCTTTAATCTCCATGAAATCGGTCCTTCTGGCTGCAATTCGGCCACAGGTTCCTCCACCTTGCTCGTATTGAGCAACAGCAGCTCCTTCCTGGAAGCGATTGCAAACATCCTGCAAGAAGTGAGCACCGATAATATTATCACTATCAATATTTACAAGAATCTCCTCGCTCGCCATTGCATGAGCAGTGTTCTTTCCGATTGATGCATGCCAGAATTCCTCCTGAGCTTTGTAGACATGGAGTAAACCCATCTCCATTGCAAAGCGGCAGTGGTGCACCAGGAAGCGGAATGTCGTATCATCCTTGCTTCCCATGTCTACCACGTGAACGCGACAGTGGTCCCGGTGAGGCCAACAGTGCATCAGTGTCAATGGTAGGGCTCTGCGAAGCTGCCAGAGTCTGTTCATGGTGGCAGTGCAGAGCCCAACCTTGGAATGACCAATGCACGAACAAGCTTAACCAACCTCAGTTTGGCCGAAAAATATCTTTAAAAGGGAACCCCCCCCGAAACGAATCCATTGATTCTGCTTCTTGGAGTCGCAGCCACGGTGTATGGAAGTGGTGGTACGGGATCCAATGTCGGGTCCTGTAAATACCTGACTGGTTGCCAGTAGGGAATGCAGGCAAAGGTGAATAGGAATTATTTTGGGACTATAGGAACTACTGCACGCTGGTGCTGACGGCTTCGCACAGAGGCTTACGCAGGTCAAAAAAGGAACTAATCTGAGCACTTGTTTTATTTGGGAGGAGCCCCCCCCCCCTCGGCAGAATAAGAAATGGAGGGCGCCGGGTTAAAAGAATGATTTGGGTTGCTGGAATTCAATTAAAAAGAATAGGAATGCATTCCCGCGTCATTGGGGCTCTTGGACCTCTACCAAGTAAAAAATGAATAGGAATGCATTGAATATCTCGATGTTCAGGGTTGGTCACCCAAAAACTTACTTTAAATCTAGTCCCTTTTCTCCATACAAAATTTTGCCTAATTGAAATTAGTCTTGGACGGCTAATTTTTCCAATCTTTTTTCTTTAAACATGGTCCCCTTTGTAAAACTGGTGCTCGGATTACTGCAGGGAACCATTTCTCAATTCCCTGCTTCCGCGATCATGGGATCCTACGCTATACCCCCCCGCACATGCCTCGCAAACATTGCCTAATCAAGCCTTATTTGAAATCTATTTTGGGGACGGGGCAAGGGGGTATAGTAGTTTCCATTTTATATTCTCCATTATCCCAATATAACCTCAGTACTATACCCCAATATTATACCCCAATGGTACATAGGATCCCCATCCTAATATAATCCCAATATTCTACCCCAATATAACCCCAATATTATACAATATATCCTCAATATTGTACAATATAACCCCAACAGTAAAGGATCCCCTTGCGCAAGCAAGATGCTTCCATGCAAGATCGAGCTGAGGCTGCAAAGCATGCTTCAGCACCCAGGTTGTTTCCTAGGCTGTATAGGGGTTATGCAAGGGTTATACGTTAGGTGAACCCCCCACCCAGTAATAGTGACTATAAGGGGATGGTAGGGATTATATTAGGATCCTTTTATATTCTTGTCATACCACTATTACAGGGTGGGGGGGGTCCTCCTAAGTTATACGTGGAGTTATGGGGTTGCAGAGGGGTCATGTAGAAGGTTCTCTAAGGCTCATGGAGGGGTATGCCATTTCCTCTGGTAAAGCAACAGCTCAATTTCATGTTGAACATATAACCACAGTTTAAGAAAACAGTCTCAAAAAACAGTTCTCAACAGCCTGGTTTCAGTCCTGAGAACTTCCAGGAAAGCACAATCCCAAATCCTGAGCTGCTGTGATGGAAATCAAATTGTTTTGTGGTAACTCAGGTCCGAAACCCTATAGAACCCCTATCCAGCCCTTGCAGAGGAAACCACCCTAAACCCCAAACCCTACTTCATTTAGGCTTCTTAAGAGCAACCCAGAATCTCCACAGCACCTGAGGCCTCGTGCTCCCACCGCAGATGCTTCGTGGTGCTTGGCCCCGGATTCAAGTAGTATGGCGTGTTTTGCCCACCGTAGCCATTCTGCCTGGATTGGATAGGGATGGGGCTTAGGGGTTTAGGGGTTCAGGGTTTGGGGCTCATGGAAAAAGCGTGTAGGTTTTCTCTATAAGGGATCCTTGATGATCACACTGGGATATGAGGATACCTGCGAATAATTACACCAGGGTCACTTTCTGAAGAACTCTCTCATTCCCTAGACCGCAGGCCTTAACCTTTGAATGCAAAGGTTTTTCTCAATGTAGCCTTACGGATCCCCCTGTCCAGCTGCAGGATAATGTAGGTCACACAGCCACACTCTGCGTAGATCATTATGAGCAACCCTTATCCTGTACAAGTTCTGTTCGGACAGCAGTACTTGTCACCACATACACTCCGGCAAAGATCTTTCAGGCTCTATTACTGAGATGCCTGTGCTTTGGTCCAAAAGTCCTGTTTACACAGAAGCTTTGAGCCCATGTGAGTAGCACTGCCATGTACAAATCAACGCAACCTGCTTGAACCCTAAACTCTAAATCCGAAACCCTAAGCATAAAGCGCGGCCAAAACAACGGACTCTACCTCGAGGGTTCTTCTGCCTGAAGGGTCAGGGGAACCTAGAAAGTACACTTATAACCTACAATTATAATCTCTATAAGCCACACAATAAACCTTCGAATTGAACATCCCCATTGCTAACCTACTTATTTATACGCCTCCAAAACCCTAAACCCTAAACCCTAGGGCCTCTGCCATGGTGGAGTGAAGATAGGGTAATATTAGAATTATATTGGGGTTACTCCTATCACTTGATTAATTTTTGGGCCCCCTCCCCCACCCCCCACTAGAATTAGAAATTGAGGGCGCCAGATTAAAATGATAATTGGGGTTTCTGGATCTCTATTACAAACTGAATAGGAATGTGTTGAATCTAGTAAAAATCTACTATCAGGACAGCTTCCCCAAACAATTCCTCTCAATGTAATCCCTTTTCCCCATATGAAAAGCCACCTAATTGTAGCTAGTCTTTGCAGCCCAATTCTACCAAAAAACATTTCACTAAATGTGGCCCCTTTTATAAATCAAGTGCTCGGATTCTATTAGGGTAGTATAGGGTAATATTGGGTGATATTGGGATAATGGAAAAGAACATGGAAAGCACTGTCTAGGGTTTAGGGTTTAAGGGACGAACAACGTATTCTTGCACATCTTCGGATCCCCCAAATATTAGCGATCAACTACAGGAGGGGAGTTTCCAATGGGGTGACTTGTAGGGACAATGAGGAGGTTGCATTATGGGTATCTAAGGCTTAAGTCAGGTTTAGGATAACTACCGTCATTGCTTTAACAATTTCTTATTTCTTTTCCACTCTTCTATATAACCCCAATGCCAATATACCATAGTAGTTTCCGTTTTCTTTTCCATTACTTTAATATAGCCAAATGAGAGGCAGGCGTCCATATAAGTCTGAGCCGAGGAAGCTTTGGATCTCTCCGCACGAGCTTCACAAATCCTCGAGGCTTGCCTTGCTTCAGGTATATTGGGGATATGTTGGGATAATGGAAAATAAGATGGAAAGTACCATTTAGGGTGTAGGGTTAAGGACTTTTGACTTGAATGCTTTTGTTCAGGAAAAGAGGACACCTCTGATTGGAGTTTGGAGCACAAGCAGTAGATACGAAACCAGAAAGGCAATGCCCCAAAAGGCCCAAAATGGCGTGCTATCTCCCAGCCCAACATGCAACTTGAAGAGTGCTGCTGCTGCTACTACTACTACTACTGCTACTAGTAGTACTAGTACTAGGACTAGGACTAGTTCTCGTGCTATTGTTGTTATCATTCCTATTGCGAAGACTACGCTAACCGTGAAGTGGGGACCTACTTTAAGTTCCATGCTGTTTCCCGTTTCCATGTAGCCATCCCCTGTATAATCCTATAAACCCCTCATTCCTTTGGGGTCTGGGTAGTGTAACACCTACCAATGAAGTAACCTAATCCCCATATTTACCCCCATATCATTCCTTTTAAATCCCTCTGGGGGTGCTGGAACAGTTTCCATTTTTGTAGCCAAGCCGCCGCTTCCATCCCACACCTCCAGGATGAGTGAGCCATGTTTTGATCTGCTCGGTCGTTCGTAGACTTGTACCAATCCCCAAGTGGAACTGAACCTGCGCTGTCCAGAAAACTAGAAAAACCTACTTCCTGTGTAGTTCCCTCAGATTTTCATGAAACAAGGGAGTGAACAAATCTGCGCGCATCTGCTAAGAAACCACTCGCCCTTCAGTCTGTCCACCGCTTGCTGGTCCTCAAGCCGCTCGCTGTCCTTTATGGTGGGATGTAGGGTTTAGGGCCCAAATAATAGAGTCCCTTTTAAGGGGTTCTAGGGGTATATCTAAGGATATATGGGGACTCCTCCTGAGTATATATCTATATAGGGATATATCTGGACTCATCCTGCTGGCACTGCGGAAGCGTTGCTGATGTTGACCCACCCTGCTCAACGGCCGGTGGGGACAGTTCGCCTTGCTTCTTGGGTGGAGCCATCTGTGACGAACCCTCCTCGGCTGCAAGCAAAGCTGGCGATGATGCTCGCAAATCCTGGATTGCTGTTGAGGAACTTAGCTTAAGTGACTATATTGGGGAAAACCATGTTAATTACTATATATACCCATTATGGTAACTTAGTTTAAATTCTTGAACAAAGGCAAAATAGGGGGACCCCAACATAGACCCCAAAATATTGTAATCTTCATTATTGGGGCACCCAAAAAATCCCAAGATTAGGGTCCCATTTTGCATAATTCTGAGAATAACCCAATAACCCAACATCCTGAGCGGCTATCATATTACTACTATTACTATTCTATTCCTATTATGCTGCTATTATGCAAGGTACCTCAACAGCTGGACAAGCTGGTGCAAAGGGAGCACCTTCCTGGGTTGCTGTTAAGGAATTTAAACTAAGTCACCCTATAATGGGTATATAGCAATTACTCTAAACCCTAAACCTAGTTATCTTAAATTACGCTCCTAAACCCTATACCCTAAACCCTATACCCCAAAGCCTATACCCTTTATAGTGACTTAAATCTAAGTTCCTTAACAGCAACCCAGATGCCTGTGGTGCAAAGGCGGCGGAGAAGGGGGGCTTTCTCTGCTCCTAGGCTGCTTTTTTAACGAACTTTAACGAAGCTACTCTATAGTGGATATATAGCAAATAATAGGGCCTCCTTGTTGTAGTAACTTAATTTAGGTTACTTAACAACAACCCAGGCTCGCAAGTTGCAGCAGCCGCTGACACTGATGGACCGAGCTCAGCTGGCCTTGTAGGCTCTGATGTTTGCTTAGCGTGTGGAACACCTGCAGGTGCCCGCGCACCCTGCTTGACAGGTACACGAGGCTGTGGAAACCCATTAGCGAGCGGAACTGGCGATGTTGCCAGCGCACCCTGCTTTGGGGGTGGAGCAGGTGCTGGAACTGGCCATGTTGCCGATACACCCTGCTTTGGGGGTGCAGCGGGTGCTGGTGCATGCGAACCCTGCTTAGCGACTTGTGATGCTTGCACACCTGTAGCGGGCGGAACAAGTGCTGTCGCCTTTGCACCCTGCTTAACAGGTGGAGCAACCAGTGTTGCTTTTGCAATTTGCTTGGGCGGGACAGCTTGTGACACTGAAGCACCGTTCGTGGCCGGCTGGCCAGAGTGTGTTCCTTGCTTAGATTTCGGAACAAGTGCAGATGCCTTCGGGCCTTTCTTAACAGGTGCCCGCCACACGGTTGGTGAGTCTTTGGCACCGAGTTCAGCCGCAGGACCCACTGGTGCTGGCACAGCTTGCTGAGCGCCCGCAAGAGCTGCTGCATCGTGTTTACCCTTACTGACGGGCGGAACAGTCATGGATGCGGATCCAATCAACATGCGCTTTGCGCCTACGTGGAGGTTCAGGAAAATTATGACCAGTCTTGAGCAGATAGGGGGGACTAGGGGGCTTACATTTATTTGGGGTATTGATAGAGTCAAAAGCAAGTCATCATCAACAAGTACTCCGGATGTGTATGTCATTATCCTCACATAGAATCTTTGTTGTTGCTGGCATCTGATGGGGAACACTGTGCTTCTGAATCCTTTTTCATGAAGTTGCAATTCTTCTGTTGCGGAGCGGATGTGCATCACTGAATGGTCTGGGTGTGATCCTTACATATGCAAGATTGCCTGAGCCACGCATCCAGCGGAAATTGACGAGAGACCATTGGAAATCAGGGCGCGATGTGGGTAAAACATTGTGAAACATGGACTCTTCAATCGATGGACAGCTTTAAAGCCACAATCGCCCTCTTCATATGTCCTAGTTGGAAGTTCAGGGCAGTAATGACTAAGTTGTGAGCATGTCAGGGACTCCGGGGGTTTGTCATTGGTTTAGAAGTGAAGGTAGAAACAGTAAGTAAGTTATACTCACCCTGGACATTCAAGTTCCAGTAATGACAGGATCGTGTGCAGGCCAGACGGCACTGGCCACTATAAATCCTAAGCCCTACTTGGAGTGTCAGGGAGACTTGGTAAGTAGGCTAATGATGTTGATAACTGGGGCCACTACATGGCTTACAGGGTTTAGGTCATAAATATACTTTCTGCATCCACGTGCCCCTCCAAGTAGACCGCGAACCCTAAGACATGTCTTGCTGCTGACAGGTTTGGGAGTTTCTCGAACTTTTTTGGGTGCTCTGCACGGAACCTTGAGACAAAAGATCGAGAGTCTGCCCTCTGAGTGTAGTTACAAAACCCTCATTCAAAGTGGACAACAGACAAGGCCCTTCTTAATTGTGACTTTGTCTCGGAGATCCTGCAGGCCCTCACAAAGAAAGTTTTCATAGTTGCTTGAGGTTATACGAGAATAAAAAAGAAAATCAATTCTTCCCAAGCGGATAGGAGGATCAACAAGGGTCCTAAACCCTCATCCTAACTGGTCGAGTGGCTGAGCCCCACAATGACACCAGCGTCGATGATGGCCCTGTATGGGTTGTCCAGCTGCTTAACACCTGCTACGAGATGAAGTGACTTACTGGCGGTTGCGTGTTGTAGCGATTATTTGCAGAGATTGTATAGGGACTACTGCCGGAATCCATTCCTCTGTCCCAGATGATGTCGCGCCTTCTATGGTTGGGAGAATGATGGTCATTGCCTGGGTGCCCTCAGCATTATGATGGGCCGTATGATGCTAGGGACCCAAAACAAAAACATGCGTTTGACATGACCTACCATATAAGAATGGAGCAGCTTATAGACGCTTGAAGGAAAAGGTTTCCAAGAAGGCGACTACTGTGATGAGTCACTGTTGCTGCTATGCGACTGTGAAAAAACAGAATCACAAGCTTGTTCTCGGCAGTATCCCTTCCTTGTAGACAGACATTTTGATAGGACGCCTACACCCACTACGCTGCGAACAGACACCTTCAGAAGAAGCATTGCTCTGTAAACCATATGCTCGTTTGGGGTATCAAAAACATGGGACTCAAATGGTAGGTTCCATAAACAGGGGAACTCCAATATAGACTCCAGTATATAATAATCCTTCTTATGGGCACCCCTCAAAGGGACCTCTAATTTTGGGACCCCCCCAAATATTGGAACTTAAGCCCTAGACCCTAAAGCCTCTCCATATTGGAACCTGTCTCCATGTATGCTGCGTTCCAGTTTATAGTTTTTGACCCGCAGGGGAAGACTGAGGTCGAGCCCCTACCCGGAAGAGAATGGCTGCACATGAGACATCGTCTAAACTCCGTAAAGGAGGTTATATGAGGGATTTTAAGACCCCTTTATTTAGGGTTTATGGCTTTGGGGGGTTATATTGGTGATTATATGGGGGAGTATTACAGAGGTTATTCAGGGGCCCTATGGGTAACCGTGGAACGTATATGAGTTGAAGGGAAGCGCAATGCCTATGACCACAGCGAAGATGACGCTTGTGACCTGCAGCACGCTGGAACCAAAAACAGGTCACCTTTGTGTACCTCGAATTATAGCGACCCCTGACAAGACACCCCTGGAGGTCTGGAAGCCCCTAGATGGATCGCTGCGGTGAAAGCTTCTGCATGACCATGGTTCGCCAGAATATCAAAATTTTGAAGGTCTGTAGTATGCATATTCACAAATGTAAGACTGCATCCATGACAGAACTTCAACCCGTCACTCTTTGTTGAGTCGAGGTTCAGAAGCCGAAATGACTAGCCTGATGCTTCACGAGGAACTACACATTCCAGGATTCAGGGTGAAGGGATAGCATATCTGTGCAAAGAGTATGAAGCAAGAGCATGAGGAATGGTTCAGGCTCTCGTCAGTGAAAAGCATCAAACGCCCTGGCATTTGCAAAGGACATCATTAAGCAATCAAACTTCGGTATTAAGCAATTCCTTGTAACAAGGGAGTTTGGGTAAACCCCAACCCAGGAGCGTGCCACCAAATCAATCCCTGCATAACTGTAAGGCAAGCAAGGATTTCAACAAACAGAAAATTGCAACCAAGCGACTGCCCAGCTGGTAATGACACGCTTCGTGGTACCGTGGAAGTACCCGATGCAGAATGCAGGCTGGCAGCGGTGTGCTGGCTATGATACCCATTACATGCGCTGCTGCGCATACGACTGCTATCACTGCTATAAACGCCTACAGTTACTGCTGCCGCTTCTAGTATCATTTCTACCGCTACAACTTCCAGAATTGGAATGACATCGTTTCCACGCTCAAGTACTGCAAAGGATGCAGGTAACTTATTGATTTCAGGGCTGTGACACACACACACAGAGAGTGAGTCGATTTGCTCCTTTGAAGGTCATACAGGAGTTTTGCAAAAAAGGGGTATATACTTCTAGTGACCTTTTAACTGGGTCGTACATTTGGGGTTTAGGGTTTGGAGTTTCCCAAAAAGCGGGGAAGATATCCCCAGGGACAATTTACTGAAAACCCTCTTCTTTTCTCCCTTAGAAACGCGGAGGGGGGGGTAGGGGGGGTATCCCATGCCCGCTTCCCTCCAGGCCCCCACCTCCGCGGCAGCCGTTTCAGCCGTCTCCCACCCCTTCGCCTGCCTCCCACCAGACTTTTTCAGAACCCGGCCCCAAGGTCGGAGGCCCCGGCCCAAGGCCCTGGAGGCCCCGGCCCCAGGCCCTGGGCCCCAAACCCCTGCAAACCCGGGCCCCAGACCCCGTAACCTTGATTGGTTTCGTTTCG